CAGAGAGAGAGGGAGACACAGAATCTGAAGCAGGCTCCAGGCTCTATACTGTCAGGACAGAGGCTGAGGCAGGGCTCAAATCCATGACCCATGGGATCATGATCTGAGCCAGTCAGACACTTAACAGACTGAGCCACCCAGGCACCCTGAAACTTATTTTCAATGGAAGCCAAGGAGATGGTCAAACAAGTTGAAATACATGGTATTTTCAGTTTCTGGTATGTTCTGTGAGGAAGGTAAAACTGGGTAGTGGGCTCGAGGGCCTCTGCATGAATGGGGTAGGACACTTGCCGTGAAACCTGAATGACCCGCACCAGCCCTAGAGTTCTGGAGTGGAGCAGCCCTGTGACCAGACTAGTTGAATGAGTTTGAGGAACCCAGAGAGAGCTAGTGTGTCTGAAAGGGCCTTGGGGTCAGAATATGCCGCCAACATATGAGGTCTGAGAAATGGGCACAGGCCAGATTTAATTCTAGGAATGGAGCTGTCAGAGGCATTCAAGCAGTGGAGTGGTATGATATGATCCATGTTTTAGACGCTCACTCTGGCTGCTGTGTAGAGAGGCACAGGAGAAGGGCAAGAGGGAAATCAGGGAGGTCACTTTAAAATATAAGACCAGCAGATGGAAAATCCTGTAGAAGTGTTTTTGCAGCACATCTATCCATGTGTTACACATGAATCCTTGTGCATAAATCTGTGCACATTTGTTCAATTCTTAATCTTCAAGACAAATTTCTAGCAGTGGAATTACTTGGAGAAAGGGCACACATATTTAAAATTCTGCTCCCTGTTGCTCAGCTGCTTTGTAGAAAGGTCATTACCATTTTTACTCCCCTCAGCAATGCGTGAGAGATGCAGTTTGCTGAACCACACCAAGACTGCATATTTCTCATCCCTGCCACTCTGGAAAATGAAAAGACAACTGCTCAAAAGATGTAAATTAAGGACACCTGGGTGGCTAAGTCAGTTGAACGTTTAACTCCCACTTTGGCTCAGATTATGATCGTGGGATCAAACCCCACGTTGGGCTCCATGCTGAGTGTGGAGCCTGCCAGGGATGCTCTCTCTCCCTCTGCCTCTCCCCAGCTCCCTCACTGTCTCTCTCAAAAAACAAAACAAAAAAGATGTAATCCTCAAGTGTAGCACGGTGGAGACATGCCTTGGTGGCAGTTTGAGTGACAAAGTCACAGGGATCTTAGTTGGAAGTGAAGGTATGACATCACCGAACCCTCACACCACATCGATTGCTGTTCCTTCCGATCCAACATGGCACAGAGGATGTCCGCACACCGGAGCACATCCCAGGGTTAGTAGTGACCAGTATCAGTCAACAGAGTTGAGAGCAGAGCCTGAGGGAGCCCACTGAAGGAGCTGGCATTGTCCAGTGTGGGGAAGAGAAACTTTGGAGAAACACTGCAGTCGTGAATATTTGAAGAGCTGCTATCTAGAAGAGAATGTAGACCGATTCGATGTTGCCCTGGGAGGATAGATGGACGTTTAAAAGAAGGATGGGATTTTTTACTCAACATGGGAAAGATGGCTGTAACAATTAGCATCGCTAAAAAACAGAGAAGTCCTGGTTGGCGGCAAGTGTTGGAGCAGAATGAAATGGTGATCTCTCCAGCCGAGTGGGAGGCTGGAGAGAGAGCATCTCAACTCCCCGCCAGTTCTGAGAGCATCTCAACTCCCCACCAGTTCTGAGGCCCATTGTTGTTTACTGATCCTCAGGGTACATGGAAATGAGAAAAACAAACCCAAGCCTTCTAAAGAAGAGACGCAGGCTTGCCCCTCCCCACCCTCAGCCTTCCTCTCTTGGCCACACTCTGTGGGGAAGAGGCCATTACTGGCTCCTGTTGGTGACACGCCCCACTTCCTGTGAGTGTTCAGGAGGAAGCGGACAGTTAATGTTGCCACTCCTGCTATCAGAGGCCAGAGCAGAAGGGAAGGGGTCAGGTTAGGGAGAGTCTTAACTGCAGATCACATCCAACTTCAGAAATGGCTGAAGCTCCCCAGCTCTGGCAGCTGAACTACTGACTGAATGGAGTTTATGAGCCCACAGCTGTTGGTCACCTTGTTGGCTCAATGGGCAGATTGGAAACTCCCCATGTCTTGTCAACCAGAGATGTAACCCTGGAATAAAGGAGCACACTTGAGCTTTGAACCTGCAGCTCCAGCGGGCTCAGTCCTCAGTCGGAGAACTGGAGTGGGTCGATGTGTTCAGTAAAGGCGTACTCGCCACCAAGCCCTTGAGACTGCTTTGATCTGGTCTCCTCTTCCTGCCTGTAGCAGCAGTGCAGTTCAAGGGCAGCCCCAGTTTTTCAGAATAAGACAGAGGCAGAACCGGAGGTGGGGAATGATCTGTTTCTGACCAGTGGCCCCTTCATTTTCCTGTTGACGTTTGGCTAGAGCTCAGTACCAACCGCTAGGCCTTGGACTGTGGTCACTCAGGGAGGAGGTGTCCAGGGTCAGGCTGGAGCCCTGAGGTGCCTTCCGGTGATCCAGAATGCAGATCAAAGGCTTGGCCTTAGGAGGCAGTCTAGGGGGCAAAGCTCAGACTCTGAAGCCAGCACACCTGGGTCTGTCCTGGTTGGGAGGGTCCCGGGCATGTCAGCTTCTCCACACCGCACCGGCCTCCTCTGCAAAGTAGAAATGAGAATCTGTAAACTTCCCACCAGATAGGTTCTCACCACGTGCCCACTACTGTCCCTCATCCTCTGCTCTGTGAAAACTGCTTTCGTCACAAATCTCAGATCTGGATAATAAGGATCACTCTGTAAACGTGCGGATCATACTATAAAAAAGGTGGAGCTCAGCTAGTGAGCCACCTACAGTTAGTTGTCAGTCTCAGATTTCCCGTATTCTCTGTGGTTTTTTGTGGCCTCGTGTTACCGGGCACAAGTAACCTGTCAGCTGTAGAGAAGGTATTCGTTTTTAAATTAATTTTGAGTGATTTATTGAAAGGGTTTGGTACTCATTTACATGTCTTAGTATTTTTCATACTTCCTTAGTTCTTAGGTGCTTTAACACATTTTTTTTTACACTTCTAGAATTGGAATATGCAATACAGTAAATATCAAAAGAAACTTGCCAGCCCTTTCCTTTTTTCCTCTCAATGCTGATAGTAAGTGATGGTCTCTAAATCCCAGTCACCTTGCAATGAGGGAGGAGGGCTACTTAGGACAGGGCTAATGGTAGGAGCGCCTGGGTGGCTCAGTCTGGTAAGCTTCCGACTTAAGCCCAGGTCACAATCTCAGTCTGTGAGTTCAAGCCCCACGTCAGGCTCTGGGCTGATAGCTCAGAGCCTGGAGTCTGCTTCGGATTCTGTGTCTCCCTCTCTGCCCCTCCACTGCTTGCACGTGCTCACTCGCTCTCTCTCTTTCTCAAATATAAATAAACATTAAAAAAAAAAAAAAAGGACAGGGCAGTTGGTTCCCCAGAACTTTCCTGAGGCTTTATGTGACCAAGAATTAATAATAAATCATCCTTCCCTGATAATATTAGCAAGGAATTATGTGGACATGGGCATGATGCTTGTCTGTGTTTTTTTCCATTTTCTCCTGTTAGATCTGCTTACTCCACCACAGTGACACCCCTCAGCCCCCACCCAGAGAACAGAGGCTCGGCCTGAGGCCCATCTTCTCCAAGTCTAGGCCATATCCAGCCTGCTGGTGGATGGCTCTGTGGGCTGGGGGATAGACTGTCAGGGGCGAGTGTGGGGGCCCTCCACCTCCTAGAGTATGTCTATAGAACCGGAACAGGAGGCACCCAAGGTCTCACCCCCACACACCCAGAGAAAAGAGGATTCACAGGTAGTGTGGGGCAGGGTTGTGGGGGGGTGGGCACACACTCAGCCACGTCATTGCACCGTCGGCCCACACACCTTCATTGCTGCCACTGCTGGGGGTTCACAGGCTGCTTAGCCTTGTCCTCCCCCGGCCTGTCCCCTCTGAAGAAGGCACAGCCCAGAGGGAGCTGAGCTGAGTTGTACTTCTTTCTAGAGTTGTGACCAGACCATGTATGAAAGCTTTGCCATCTTTCCCATTTCCTAAGTGCTTCCCCAGTAAGCTAATCCTGTGAAAAGAGCGATTTCTAAAAAGCTGGTCTCCATTCCTCCATCTGGCACAGTTTAACCCCAAAGATGATGATGGTGATGACGATTGTCATTAGGAAAACCAAACCCTTGATGTCACAGAGTAAGGAAATTGAGACTGACTGTCTTTTTGTAATCTCTTTCTCTCCTTATAGGCCTTGGGACCTTGTCCATAGGGTGTTTGTTTTAGAACTTGATAAAGTAAGGTCACTTAAATCAGGTCACCTATAAAGCTCCCTTTTTGGAGCAGAGGTACAGACTATGTGTAATGCTTTCTTACATGTGTGTTCCTGGCCCTGCAGATGTCAGGATTGCAACATGCAATTTACTCAACCCGTTGCCCCCGCTACTCTCACAATCCATAAATCCATGTAATATCATGAAAGACACAGAAAGTCTTTCCGGTTCACTGCAGACATTCCTGTGTTAGCACTTCTCAGATTTGACCCCCAGCGTGCCTCCGAAAGCAGAAGAGAACACATACCACTGGCATTTGTGAGGTGCCAGATGCAGAATGATGGCTTGATTTAGGAGCTGGCCAGATCTGGGAGTTCTTTATTCTGTAGCATTGTGTGTCCGAAAAGAGTACCTTTCGTCTGAACAAGCAGACCTGGCAAATCGGATGGTCTTTTATCTCATTAGCATCCGTGAAGTTCATGAACGTCTTCCAACAGACCGCAAAGCACTGAGCGCCATTTTTGGATAGCACTTGTGAGAGCTTCAAGGAGGGGTTCAGGGAGATGATATAAAGCTTTAAAAAGAGAGAAATCACTGTATAAATTACACTCCATACCTTAAAGAAAATGTAGGTACCAACCCCTAAATATGTAATACAAAAAGTTAAAAAAAAAAATAAGCCAACTCGGTTTTTTGCTAAATCACATTGTGTGTACGTGTGTTTGTTCTTTCCAGACATATGAAGATTCATGAGAAGGACCCTAACAGTGCTACAGCTACGGCGCCCCCATCCCCACTGAAGCGCAGGCGGCTGTCCTCCAAGAGGAAGCTGAGTCATGATGCCGAGTCAGAGAAAGAAGACCCAGCACCTGCTAAAAAGGTTCTCCCTGCTCCCGCACAGATGTGCCTAACCACTGGACTCCTGGCAGAAATACCTCTGCCTTTATTTTCACAGTCTGGGGACTTGGCAGACATCCACCCTAAGCTTTTAACCTGTGTTTTCCCACACTGTTTTATAAGGTGTCTGCAGGAAAGAGTACCCGTGTGCACTTCTCTGTGGGTCCCCCTACCTGAGCCCCAAGAGATGAAGAGCGTATTTCGTAGCTCTGTGCTTTTTTGTTTCTCCAGCTGGAGTGGAAGCTTCATGCGTATTAGGGGCTCTTGTCCTCACTCTTTGATTCTCTGTACCTGTCAGATACTAGGTGCTCCATAAACGTTTATTGAATGGATGAGTGGGTTGAAGGTGGATGGATGGGAGCATTCAGTAGGTGTTGTGAGAATAAAGCACTGTCAGTAGCCTCCTTAATCCCTAGGAAGGAAGCCTCCTTTTCCTTTTAGATTTGGATTGAGTATTGGCTTCTCTTCTGAAGCAGACCCATGTGGGAGACCACCTTCCTGACTTCACTTTTTTCCCTTTCCCCAAGATGGTAGAAGACGGGCAGGCAGGTGACCTGGAGAAGGTGGACGAAGTGTTTCACTGCCCAATATGTTTCAAGGAGTTCGTTTGCAAGTATGGACTGGAGACCCACATGGAGACCCACTCAGATAACCCACTAAGGTAGGAGAAAGGGTGGGACACAGCTGTACTCTGGAAAGCTCTTTTTCCTTCTGTTTCTTTCTGGCCTATGACCTGTCCTTATTTCCCAGTCCTCCAAACTGGGCTAATGGGATTTAACTTGAGTTTGATGACAGCAAGGCAGCTAGTAAGAAAGGTGGATGGTGCAGGAAAGAAACCAGGCTGAGAAATGTCAGAAGGAAGAAGTGGCTGTAGCCACAGGGTGTGTTCACCGAGGTTCACTACACTTCCATTTCGCTGCTGGGAGGGCCCTTGGAGCCTTTGCTGAGAGTCCACTGTGCACAGGGTGCCCCGTCACAGGGGGCTTTTGAGCATCAGGCACATTGTCTGTAACACCAAAGGTGTTGCAGCCCAAGTGATTGTTAGCTTGTGCAACAGTGTGGTAAGGACGGAAGGGCATGCCAGGTGCTCATCCATGTTTCAACTGGATTGGTAGCAGTTTGGGGTAAGAGGAGTTCTGTTCTGCTTCGTGCAAGACACTCAGCCTAACGTGAAGGCTGTCACAGTAAGATAGTGAGACATGATTGTTCTGCTGTTCTGGGTTCCATTTGTGGTCTTTGCTGGCTCCAGCTTTCCTGGTTCTTCGCCTGCCCAAGCAGAGAAGGTGGATGGTGATAGGAGTTTCCAGCAGTGTTCAGGGCAGGGCCGGGGACAAGGTGGACTTGGCCTTCCTTCCTTATCTTCTCGGAGAACTTCCTCATCAGGGAGAAAGTCCTGTGTTCTCCGTGACAGGTCTGGAACATTTTCCTACAGAATTGCCACTTTTAAAATGCTACTGCCACGGTTTCCGAGCATTGAAAAGAACCAGGTGCCATAGGGGCGCTAGAAGACTTGGAAGCTGTGGCCTGCAAGGCACAGACGAAGGTTCACCCAGAGCGGAGGCGAGCACCTCTGTGCCCGCAGCTCTGGGCTTCAGAAGGCAGCTTGGGAGTATGGAAATCTGGACACCTGTCTAACTCACCGACGTATGGGCCAGATTTCCTTCCTCAGGACAAGGCATTTGGGTGTGATTTGGGAGTACAGAAGTCTGACCAGGTTGAAGGCTTCTGTGTTGTAGGAAAAGCCTAACCCTATGGCGGCTTAAAGCCACGTCAGACGATTACACTTAATCACATCAGCTTGACATTTTTTCCATTAGGGGGAAAAAAGAATCCATGAAAAGTTTAAACTGCTGAGCAGTTGAAGTGCTACAAAATGTCTTTTCATAACTCCCCCGTCTTGGGGAATTGCAGACCGTGTAGGAGAGGGCAGGGACTGGTGGTCAGAACCCCTGGACCCCATCCTACTCACATGGGGCCTGGATCAGCTATATTTGAACCTTGAAGGAGAGCTGGACCAGGTAGTCCCTGTGCTCCCTTTCCGGCCTTAAATTCTAGGGGGTTGGTCTCTTTAACAGCTGTTCTTTTGTCTACCAAGAAAAAGCACTTGGCTCTTCCTTTTGCGGGCCCTCTGGTCCTGAGAGATTTGGGAACGTTAATGGTTTCATTAGCATCCGCAGCATCCCCAGGATGTGGGCTTGTGGTAGGTGGTGAATATTGAAATAGTTTTCTCAACCGAGGACCTGAGCAAACAGAGGAGAAGTGACCAGACAGGCGAGTCGTGGGCAGAGGCAGCAGACAGCACGTGGGACCCCGCCCCCCACCCCACGTTGCTGCCGGATAGCCACGCGAGCTGGCACTACAGAGGGAACACAGTGCCTGTCTCTGAGCTCCTCTGTGTGTTTTGTTTCACTTCGTGCTTTAGTCTGGGATCACAGTTCATCTTTGGAACTACCCGTTTGTCCCCTTCCAGATAATTCTGTCCTACAGGAAAAATAATTTGAGTCTCACGAGAGATTTTTGAGCAGCTGGAGCCTGTACAGCACCACGTATAGCAGTGATAGAGGACACTCGAGTGTCCCCTTCTCATGGTGGCCTGGATGAGGGAGTGGGTTCGCCTGCAGCGGGGCCCTCTGGACAAGCACTTGCCCCAGGGACAGGCTGGGCCTGCTATTCAGAGGTGGGGATGGGCCCTGCGTTGGACACTGGTTGTCCCGTTCTACACAGTTTGGTGGGCAATTCACTTGCCGTGACTCCAAGGCCAACAGGGCAGATGGTCTGTGAAGTTGAGCCTCAAGTCCTGCCTATTTTCCTCGCCTACTCAGGAATAATGCCCTTTGTCTGGAGAGGGGTTGACTGGAGTTGCTCGGTAGCCTGGCTGGGCCTCAGCCCCTTCTGGCAGCCTTCCACCCCACGGGAGCCCCCAGACGCTGTGCCCACAGCACATCCATTGTGGGGGGGTGGGTGGTGAGCAAGCCATCCCCCAACTAGTGGCTGTTGTTGTGCGGGGTGGGGCTTGCGTCTGGAAACCAAAGGGACTTGATTACAGAACACAGTTAATTTCCCTTTCTCCTCTCTGCTCTCCTGTTCCACATAATAGCCTGCTATCAGAGGAGGCCATGGGGGCAGGCATGAGCCGGCAGGGCCCAGCCAGGCAGTGAACTGTGACAGTAGCCGGTGGGAGAGGCTGCTTGTTAACCCAGAGCTAAAATAGACACCAACTCCATTTGCAAACCCCAAAGGCAGCAGAACCACAGTGGGATGCTACCAGTTCAAACACAAGGTTTATAACTCAAAACAGCTGTTGGTTTCTCGCTCTTCTGCCCTCACCCCCTCCACCCCCCAAAGCTGGCCAGGTGCCTGTTATCCCTTAATAAAAAGTGTTGGAGATCCAAACCCGTGCAACTGCTGAGGCTGTTCTCCCTTCCTCTGTGTTTCAAATTAATGAAGTGTGTGTTAGCATGAAGCAAAGGGAAGACAGGGAGCTGCTGGTAGCGATTCTAGCTCTTCGTGCTGGGCATTGCTTGTGCCCAGACATGACCAACAGTAAATCCACATCCTCCTAGACAAGGAGGGCTTATTGAGAGCTAGCATTTGGAATCAGGGGTGAGGGACAGTACTATAAACGTTCTAGTGGTCACATTTTAAAAAGTAAAAAGAGGGTACCTCAGTCAGTTAAGCATCCAGCTTCAGCTCAGGCCATGATCTCACAGTTCGTGGCTTCAGGCCCCGCATCGGGCTCTGTGCTGACAGCTCAGAGCCTGGAGCCTGCTTCGGATTCTGTGTCTCTGTCTGTCCCTCCTCCGCTCATGTCCTCTCTCTCCCTCTCTCTCCCTCTCTCTCCCTCTCTCTCCCTCTCTCTCCCTCTCTCTCCCTCTCTCTCCCTCTCTCTCCCTCTCTCTCCCTCTCTCTCCCTCTCTCTCTCTCTCTCTCTCTCTCAAAATAAATAAATAAACACTTACTTTAAAAAGGTAAAAAGAAGTAGGCAAGATTAATCATGTTTCTTTGTTCATTATACCAGTGATACCAAAATACAACATCAACACATAATCAGTATAAAAATTGTCGGGGATGTGTTTTACCTTCCTGTTTACATACAAGGCCTGTGCAGTTCAGTGAGTGAGGTGCAGTAACAGCCCATCTCAGTTTGAACCAGCCACATTTCAGGGGCACAGCAACCCACCACACAGATGTAGGTCCAGGACAAGCCCACCTACGGCAGGGAGGGCACCGAGGCAGCAGCTTGGCTGTAAAGGCCCCTGGGCTTGTGTCTGAATGACTTGTCTCAGGCTGGTGGGGGCTGGGCCAGGAGGGTTGACAGCTGGGTGATTACCATGGCTCTGTGACTGCTGCCAAGGGCAAAATATAGCAAAACTTACTGTATAATCTTACGTGGCGGCTTCTCGATTAAAGGTCGGGTGGTGAATAATTTTTAAATTATTTTAGTTAAAACGTATCCAAATGATTGAGTGTTTCTTGTGTGCCAGGCACTCCACCAGACTTGAAGGAAAAAAATACAATGATGTTAGAGACAGGGCCCCTCCAGGGCCAGTCAGGAAACAAGTAAATGGGAAGTTCTAAAACAAAGCGAAAGGGATACATTCAGGGCCATGAAGGGCACAAGCTGCCTATTGTCGAAGCAGAGGGAGCCTGATCCAGTTAGTGTAAAGCTTCCCTTGACATTTTGCACTGAATGTTGTGACACTTCACTGTGTCCTGTAGGTGGAGGCTGGAGGCTCTCCTCTGCCTGATCAAATTATTGATCTTGATTGTCAGTAAGAAAAGTTTTAAGGTGATGCCCTTAAATCTATGTCAAGAATTAGCATGTGGGGAACACAGTGGGCTCTGACAGGTTCACCCTTCCGGCTGCATGAGAGCTTGTCCTGCACCTGCACGATGAGGATAAGTGATGTTACAGGCACGCAGGCCAGGCTGAAAGCCACCCCCTTCATCTTAGTGGTGGAGGGAGGTGCCAGAACCTTCTTTCTTCTGGATTCTCAAGTGTTCCAAGGAATGTTTGGCTCCCTTCACTGCACCACCCTCCCCATACACACCCCCATCACCTACAGGGAGCCCCTAAAGACTAATTCACATGGCACTGGGCCCACACTTAAATGTAATCCTAAAAATAAGGAAAAGGGTATGAAAAATATTCATCAGTATCTTGTACTTAAGACTCCCAGGGGTCCATGGCTTGGCCAAGTGGAGGCAGCTTTAAAATGGTGCTGGGGGCTGAGTGAGGAGGCAGGGGACATGTCCCCCTGGCCAGCCTGGAAGTCGGAGGCACCTTTGTCAGTATCCCCCTCTCCACCCTGCCGGAGGGGCCTCCCCACGACTTGGGCTATTCAGAGCCAAGGCGGCCACCGGCTTCTGCACTTAACCTGCCCACGATGAAGTGCCTCTGACCCGCCCTGACTTCACGCCATGCTGGTTGGTTGAACCGTCCGGGCAGGGTGTCGGGACGCAGTGTGCAGTCTGGCAGATTCCTGGGTGTGGGGAGGGCAAGCCGCCACCCGCCAGCCACCGGCCAGGGCCCTGTCACAGGGCCCTCACTGTTGCTCCCAGCAACTGGGAGAGATTAGTGCAGCTGTTGGATGTCAGTTCTCTGGCTGGACGGGAGGGAGGGTGGGGAAGGGTGGGCACCAGGGCAGGAATGTCTGAACC